AAATTTACATACATACAAGATACGCGCGAAAAACATAACCGTATAGATGTAGATAGAGTGTAAAAAATTACGAATTCGTGATCAAATAAATAAAATTTTGAATAAAATTATCATATTTAAACCATTCTTAACAATCCACGATTTCAATCTTACTGATTTATATTAAATTAGTCTATTTTACGGACACCTTGACAGTCAATCAATTTTTGTTTCCCTGATGCTTGAACAAAAATTGATTGAATTTAGTAGACGTCGCTATTATAAAGCAATTTTAGCCGCAAGAAAATATTCTTTTGATTTAATATACTAAAATATAGGCTCTACATATCTAAAAATAAGGATTGTAACATTTATTTGCTATAAAATTAAACTTTTATATTATATTTTATGCCGCATTTGTGGTTGAAAATTATCAAATTAAATAAATTATTTGCTGTGAAATGTTTTGTTTTATATTTCATTTTATTTGAAGATTTAATTGCATACATTTTTTTTTATATAAAGGTAAGGGTGACAAACCAACACAGTCTACCCAATGTCAAGTGAAAGCTGTGGAGTATGGACCAAGACACAAAAATTTATCCTCGATTAGGAACAAAATGTGGTTGTTTGTTACCCCTGAGTCCTAAGATGGAATGCCTTATTACCAGCAAAAAAGGGTCTTCGGTTCTCGTCACTCACTAACAGCAGCAGCAAGTTGCTACTTCACGTTGCTATTCTGTGTGAGTGTCGTACTTTCCTGGTTGGGCCTACCTAAATTTTTCGTGCTGCAGTACAAGTTAAGTATACTAATTAATAAGTTTGCAACTGATATTTGCGTCAACTCCCGAGTCGTCCTCTTCGTAAATTATGCCACGCCTATTTAGCGTACTTTAACGTGCAGTTATTTAGTGGTGATCGATATGAAATCTGTTAGTGACTCAGAAGAAGTTTACAAAGCGCTGGAGTGTACTATTGTCTGGTTTGTACACTGCGGTATTGATATTTTATTTTATTTTAACCTAATAAGGACTAATAATCTTTTGCTCACCAGGTGTCGCTAGTTGGGACTAAGGTTTACTTATTTGTTACGCAGATGGACACAGTGTCATCATGTAAATAGCAGTCGACGATAATAAGCACTTCCAAAAACATAGAAGGTTGCTAAATTTATATGCCAGGCGTTTTTCGCAAACTATCACTTATTTTGTTGGTAGGATGTACAAATGTTGTCGAGAATAAGATAGTGATTGAGTGAATACATGTTTTTTTATAGGATAAGGGTGACAAACGAACACACAGTGCACCTGATTGTAAGTGGTTACTGCGGCCCATAGACATCTACACCTATCCTCGATTACGAATCAAAATGCAGAGGCGTTGTCATCCGTGAGGACTAAGATGGAATGCCTCGTTTCCAGAAAAAAGGGTCTCCGATTCTCTACACTCATCATACGAAACACAGCAGTGTTAAGCTGCTATTTTATGCTGGTATTCTGTGCAATTAATTTTATTGATCCCTAGTCCTAGTGTATCTTTTAGACCAGATTTACTAACTAGCGCCGAGTTTCAACCACCGTAGGCATTTAATGTCTATTATTTAAGAAAAATGTCAACGGAAAAATAAGAAAAACATGGTGTGGGTTCAGAAAAGTTAAAAAATCATGTAATACCAACCCGTAATTGTATGGTATATAACTTGTGCATGCCAGATAAGCCTTCTATTAAAATATTTAATCAACTCGTTAGAATAATGAAAAATCACCTGTAACCAAAACGCAACGTCTTTTTGGTAACAGATGTTTGTTTAAAGAAGTTTCTCTCGGTTCTCATCTGGGGACTAAGGTTTAGCATCTTTCGCACGCCGAGCCGAGTGTTGAATTATTTTAATTTTTCATTATCTCTTTCACTATGCGCCCAAATAACATGCTATAAATTGCAAAGTTTATCTTGATAAAATTGTATTGACGATGAAGTAACTTTCGTTCGTATAGATTAATATGCCATGCCTATTAATAACGCTCATAAATCACTTTTTAATTTTTAATAACTTTTTGACACAAAATAGCTTATTATGGCTTATGTATAAGAATAAAGACATATTCGAGTACCATATTTTTGTAGAACATTGTGTTTACGTATCACTAATGTGGATAAAGCAGTTTGGGAGCCCTTTTTCTTCAGACTCGTTTAACAAAAATCAATGTTTAAGGCTAGCTGAGAGGTGTAGCCTAATGTTAAATATGTATTATTCCTCATGATTCTGGCTATAACATTTTTCTTTCTCTCTTTATTTTTTTTTAAATCGGACCGATAATTCCAGAAATTACCTTGTTCAAACAAATAAAAGAACGAAAAAACTCTTCCGCTGTATTTAATTTTAAACAAAATATCAATATCATTTCATATAATAATATCAAATATCAATATTAATTTCAAATATCACTTAATTTGTATTGGTAGAGTGTAAAAATGTTGTCGAGTATAAGATGGGGATTGAGTGAATACCTACATATTGCATTTAATTTCATTGATCCCGAGTCTGCATCCTAGGTCCAGATTTATTATGATTGAGTATTTTTTTGCAGCCACAATACAGCATGAAATACCTTGTCGCTGCTGTTTTTTAGGGTTCCGTACTTAAAGGGTTACCAACGGGACCCTATTACAAAGTTTCCTGTCCGTCTGTCCGTCCGTCTGTCTGATTCGTAATAGGTAGACAGTTGGAATTTTCACAGAATGTGTATTTCTGTTGGCACGATAACAAAAAAAAAAATTAAAAGAAATTAAAAAACATTAAAAAATATGAAAATATGTACATAGTATTAAATCTTGTACAATGCTACGGAACCCTTCATGCGCGAGTCTGATTCGCACTTGGCCGTTTTTTTTTATATTGAGTATAATATTTGGTGAACGGCGAATGTAATAACGAAAAAACGTTGGTTATTGTAACGTTCTCATTTGTAAAGCTTAAACATTCTAAAATCTCGGGGGTAAAATTATTTTCACGGCATTCACTGCTATTCACGTGATGATACGTGAATAGGCATCGCTCTGTCATCTTTTATTAAATAACGATATTATAGGTCCAATTTAAACATTATTACAACAGCTAAATAGACGTAGTTATTAGATATGAAACATTACATTGTTTCCTAGAAACATCGTTAAAAGGGAGTAAATATTATCTATAGTATTTATTCTGCACTTTAAGCATGAAGTGATAAATATTACATGTCAGGTTATTGACCGTCTTTTGTTTGTTTTTGTATCATAACTGTTAGTATATTATAATTTATATGTGTAATATATTAATATGATAACAATATAAAAAAGGGTTTGTCCTGTTGGATGGCTTATTTTTTTAAGCTGGGCATAATGTTAGTAAACCAGCTACATAAATAATCTCGGCTTGGTCCGTAGATTTACATGATATATGTATCCTATCATCATCATTTTTCCTGCCCATCACAATTTTACTGCTGAATATAGGCTGCCCCCATAGATTTTCAGATAGCACGGAACTGAGTCACCTGGATCCATCTACCATTTTTATGTTTTTTTTTCGGTAGCATCAACCATATACTGGAGGATCAGAGAGGTGCTTATCATTATAATAATTTTATTAATATTATCATTATTTTATGGATTAATCATATTACAGTCTGCAATACACAACTATTTTATACAGAGATCAGGAGTCTTTCACATTATTACAATTTTGAATGTTATGTATTTTATACTTACATATCCATTTAAAAGAGCATATCGAGTTCGATCACCACCGAATCTGGGCGAAGTTATTGGGTGCACGATGATGAAGGAGAACATAGTGAAGAATCAGAAAAAGAAGAAAGAAAAATGTAATGATTCAGGGACGTGCGCAATCTTCCCAGCTTAGGACGTGTATCGGGATGTAATTTACTACAAATGCAAGACTATAAGCTCATTCTGCGAAGATCAGACCAAAAATTAAAAAATAATATTAAAAATTTAAATAATAATTTGAATCTGAAGGTGGTCGTGGTTAACTATGGAATTGGAACGCAGTTCAGACCAAGTCAGCAACTCAGACCACCGTAACCATGGGTGTTGTAAAGTAGGTACTCGAAACGTCGGGAACTTAAAATAAGTTAATATACGCGATAAAATCCGTTTAAAAAAATTGTTTCATTATTTTCATTTAAATGTTTAGTGTTCGTGTAAACATAAGAAATCATTATGATGTAATTTACTTTTTTCATATTTAATAACTGATTTAACAAAGTTACATATTATTTATTTCGATTTATGTTATTCATATTTGATTTCAAAGTAAGTAAAGAAAACCAGATGCTCTTATGTATTGCATTAACTGAGGATGTTAGCACTCCCTCATGCTACCAGATAAGGTTGCAGGATAGTATAACATTCTAGGATAAGTTCCAAACTGTTTATACTATTGTACATTAATTTTATATGCATAAAGTATAATCTTCACGTGGTTAAGCCATGCTGCAGCTATATTTCTGATATAGTTGTAACACGAATGGGTCGGCTCGACCGGGGAAGGACCACGCTCTCACAGAATACCAGAGTAAAATAGCAGTTTAATGCTGCTGTGTTTCGTATGGTGAGTGTAACCGGAGACCTTTTTTACTAAAAACGAGGCATTCCAAATTAGTCCTAACGGGTGACAACGCATCTGCATTTTGATTCGTAATCGAGGATAAATGCAGATGTCTATGGGCCACAGCAACCACTTACCATCAGGTGGACTGTGTGCTCGTTTGTCACCCTATCCTATAAAAAAAGTAAAGTATACAGGAAGTATAAAAATTAGAAACGGAGTACTGTCGCTTGGGCGATTTCTAGTTATCTGACCGATCGTAGGTCCGAGTGGCGGGGTACATGACGTCGGAACCGGTTACAGTAGCTGGCGGTATCAGGGAGCTACTGGTATATATTGTCGTCGTCGTTAGGTACTGGTCTAATACGGGCTGTTCGTTCTTTGGTTATATTCAAATAAATAATTAAACATGAGTTCCGATAAAAAAGTAGTTCTTGTGACTGGTGCTAGCTCAGGAATAGGTGCTGCAATTGCTATAAATTTTAGTGAAAAAGGTGACAAAGTTGTTTTAGTAGGTAGAAATGAAAGAAAGCTGCACAGTGTTTCCCAACGATGTAAAGAAATTGGAGGCGATACCCTAATTATAATTGCCGATCTTACTATCGATGCAGACATTAAAAGGGTATTAAATATGTTAATTGAACACTTCGGAAGATTGGATGTATTAATAAATAATGCTGGAATAGCCGGTTCAGAGAGTATCCTTTCCAATAATGCTATGAAAGTATTTGATGAAATAATGGCAATCAATCTTCGTGCAGCTGTATATGTCACACACCTAGCTGCACCATATTTGATTAAAACAAAGGGTAATATTATTAATATATCAAGCATAGGATCTTCGTCTATCTGTTTTCGAATTAACTCTCAGTATTGCGCATCTAAAGCCGGTCTAGACCAATTTACAAAGTGCGTTGCTCTTTAGTTAGCTCCGTACGGTATAAGAGTTAATTCTGTTAATCCTGGACCTACAAAAACAGATTTCATGGAGCGGTTGGGATTTGATGACGAGAAAAAACGACAATTTTGGAACACGTTACAGAAAGGAACATTGTTAAATCAGATAATAGAACCTAGTGAAGTAGCTGATTTAGTTTTGTTTTTAGCAAGTGATAAAGCAAAGAGTATTACGGGTTCATCATTTGTAATTGATAGTGGAGCTTCATTAAAAGGTCTTTTAGAAGAGTAATAATGATTTCTCATAAATAAACATGGCATATTCAATATAGAATTAAAAAAATATTTTAAGGTTAAGTTTTTCATTTATGAAATAGAACATTATTTATGATATCACATTATTTGAAAACTTGCCTTTCGTCTATAGTTTTAGTATCATATGACTAACAATTCTTTTTCCATAGTTGTAGTGAGTATTGACGAAAAATTTCATATTATAAAAAGATAATATAATAAAATTTTGTTATTCACAAAGTTTTTAATTTTTTTTTATAGAAGAGCGGCTCACATGATGGTAACCAGGGAAATTGCAAGTGCGTTGCCGGCCTGCAAAAAAGGCTCGCTTCTTGAAGGTCAATATGTCGTATCGGCTCGGAAAAATCGCCGGTGGTAAGGAACTCCACAAATAAATCGTGCGAGGAAGAAAATTCCTAGTAAATCGCACTGTTGTGGATCGCCAAGCATCCAGATGGTATGAATGGTAACGTGAGTTTCATCGCGATGTGCGTTGGTGAAATTTAGCAGCTGGAATTAATCCGAACAATTCCTCAGAGCCCCCATGGTAAGTGAAAATGCAAAGGGATACAATATCTCTTTACAGCACCAGTGAATCGGTCTGCTCTGTATGCGGTTAAGTGGAAATTTATTATTATTTATTATTATATCCCTTATCTTTATAGAACACAGAGTGAATGGGGCTCTTTACTCTATTGTAGTTAGTAGAATGTGTTCAGTACCACTCAGTAGGTACTAACACAACACTGTGAATTGCCTTGCGTGCCTTTATTTCGCATATTCATGCTATATATATTTATTTAAATATTATTATTGCTACCTAAGTATATTTAAACCTTATATCTTGTTGTAAAATCAAATAATCCCAGACTCTAGCCTTTCTTTAAGATTTTTTGTTTTATTTATAAGTTTGTAATTATTAATAAATGAATGTTTTGTAATGAGTTATTAAATAAGTGAATTTTATGTTTAGTAAAAGTTCTGTCTTGACAGTTGAGATATGCTATGTATATAGTCTCGTTTTATATACTCTATTTAAACGATCTATTAACTAGACAACATTCTACACATATAGTAAAGCCAAACAGCATTATGTAGCTGTTTCTTAAATTTTATATTTTTTTTATAGAATTAGGGCGACAAACGAGCACACAGTCCACCTGATGGTAAGTAGTTGCCGTGGTCCATAGACATCTACATCTATCCTCGATTACGAATCAAAATGCAGATGCGTTGTCACCCGTGAGGACTAAGAGGGAATGCCTCGTTTCCAGTAAAAAGGGTCTCCGGTTCTCTACGCTCACCATACGAAAACACAGCAGCGTTATGCTGCTATTTTACGCTGGCATTCTGTGAGAGTGTGGTTGGCTCTACCACGTAAAAATATGGTTTTAATTACCATTATATCATCATTAGCTCTCCCATAGTTTGCCTGGCAATGATTGGTAGGCGTTATCAGGAATATACTGCTGTCGATCACCTGTTTGAATTTCCTTTGTCACCTCTTACGACACCCACGGGATGATATGGCGTAGTGGATATTCTTAAACCGCCACTACACAGCTATTAAATAATATATGGTTTTAATTATTGTCCTCCAAAATGAATTTTTAGAAAAGCACCTAGAAAAAAAATTATATTTTTATTTAGAGAGCTTATTGATTTTAAAATGTTAATTTTATCATTGGAGTAACCTCGAATTCCCTGAAGAAAGTACTGCGATGGGGAAAAGTTATCTAATTTCAGTTGTAAGTGATCTTTTAATTAAACTTGATTCTGCCGTTACAAAATTAGTTGTGCGAACTTACGGAAGCTTAATTTTCGCCTTGTGATACTTTAATACTTGTTTAGGTTTCTAAAGTATTCATGATATGTGATGATCATTATCACAATTTAATATTACAATTAACGGAGATCGGATATCTTGTCTAATTGGAGTTTCGGATAAATTATAGTGTATGTCTCTTCTGGGATAGCGCTCTTATATTGAAGTTTCATCACGATCGGTTCAACCATTCCGAAGATTCGCTCGGGCAGACAGACAGACAGAATTTTTTAAAGCTCATTGTATATTGGTGGCATAGAAGTATTCACCACTTCATCTAAAATAATTCCGTAAGTGTCGTAAGAAGCGATTTAGGACAAAGCCTAGAAGATTTTGTAGAAGCACTTGTATTTATTTCAAATATAAAAAACCTAGACATCAAAGCGAGATTTTGTACTGCGTTTGATATTTCGTCAGCCGAACCCACAATGTCACAGATGTGTGTAAGTATAACAAAATACATTTAACGGAATATGTGAGTTGATTGAGATTTAATAGAAAATATTGGCAGCGAACAAATTACATTAACGTGGCCTCCGGCTAGGACAAGAAATAATGTGAATGATGCCATGACATTGTTTTTCGTAGCGCGTTACGTTTATGCTCTTGACTTTATTTACATATTTTATGAGAGAAGTATGTTTTATATGATTATATTTTTTATACTGGTTCTCATAACGATTTACTATATTAAAATTAGTACTACACTTTGAATAAAAACACCTTTACGCATTTTATCCCGTTTGATTTGAATTATTTTTAATTATCGACGTTTATGGGGGACTAAGGTGTTTGACGTCTTGATGTCATAGTTAACCCCGGGCGAGCTTTAGCTTTTGGATATTAGTTTTTGTTCCAATCTTCGCAAAATGCGTTTACTGTATCTTGGGGTCTTGGTGGTAGGCTCGGATTTGGATTTAATTTTATTAAAATATTATTAATTTTTTTTTATTTTATTATTTTTTCTTTTTTTTTTTAGAGCGGAACAGTATTTCATGCCGGCACACCGCCTGCAACTTTACAAGGCGCAAGTTCGGCCTCACATGGAATACTGTTCCCATCTCTGGGCAGGGGCTCCCCAGTGCCAGCTCCTTCCACTTGATTGCATCCAACGCAGAGCTGCTCGAATCGTCGACGACCGAGCCCTTTCTGATCGGCTCGATTCATTGGCACTGCGAAGGGATGTTGCATCCCTTTGCATTTTCTTTCGCATCTACCATGGGGAGTGCTCTAAGGAATTGTTCGGATTAATCCCAGCCGCCAAATTTCACGAACGCACATCGCGGCAGAACTCCTGATACCATCCACACCATCTGGATGATTGGCGGTCCACCACTGTGCGATTTAGAAGATGTTTTCTTCCTCGCACGACCTCCTTGTGGAATCGATTACCATCAGCGATTTTTCTGGACCGATACGACTTAGGGACCTTCAAGAAAAGAGCGTACTCCTTTTTAAAAGGCCGGCAACGCATCTGCGATTCCCCTGGTATTGCAGTTGTTCATGGGCGGCGGTAGTCACTTACCATCAGGTGAGCCGCATGCTCGTTTGCCCCGTCTCCTATAAAAAAAAATAACAATAGGAGATAGTATGCTCAAAGTTTGTAGACTTGCCGAAGCGTCGGTGCTTCACGACAACTACTTGTATATGTTCTTTTATGAGGGTTTTGTTTGTCCTAGGTAAGGTAGACCACATTCACAATTAAGCTAATGTGTGCTGTAAAGTACACGAAACTTCGGGAATTAACAATAATTCAAATTAAATGCGATAAAATCTGCAAAGTTTTATTCAATATACTGGTTCCCTTATACATACTTCATACCTAGATGCCACCCGTGCGATATATCGGGACTGTCACCGTTACTCAGTCACGTTGACCTACATTTATCCGGATTAAAATTTGCAAAGTGCGCCAAACTGTTATCCAGAAGACTTTTACAACTTCATTAGGTATCAAGGATGGGAATGCCAAAATGAACTAAATTGAATAGTACGGTTTTTTCATCGTATTTACAATGACCTCATCTATCCTTTTTCATAATTCCTAAGATACTTGGATATTTACGTGGCATAGCCATGCTGCAGCTATATAGGTAGCATAGTTGTAGCACGAATGGGTCGGCTCGACCGGGGAACGACCACGCTCTCACAGAATACCAGCGTAAAATAACAGCTTAACACTGCTGTGTTTCGTATGGTGAGTGTAGAGAACCGGAGATCCCTTTTTACCGGAAAAGAGGCATTTCACCTTGGTCCTCACGGGTGAAAATGCATCTGCATTTTGATTCGCAAACGAGGATAGATGTAGATTTCTATGGGCCACAGCAACCACTTACCATCAGATGGACTGTGTGCTCGTTTGTCACCCTATCCTATAAAAAAAAACTTGGAAAATACGTCTGACTTTCTTGTCTAGACTCCTAATTGGAAGGAAGTAAAATTACAAGGTTATTATATATTATATATTTTTATAATATTAAATTGATAAACGAACTTATAATCTAACTGATAGTAAATGGCGACTGCAACCTATGGACGCATGTAACAAACTGTGTACAAAGACGGATAGAAAGCTGCATTATATTACATGATTCCCTTACCCTTCAAACCTAAACAAAGCTGTGATGACGCTGTTGCATTACTGCAAAAATTAGTAGCCGGGTTGTAAACGGATTCCAAGGCAGAAAATGAAATATAGCAACAAGCTAAATTTATTTAATTAATATTAAATCTCTGAGTAGTGTTTTGAGCGTAGTGTGACCGAAGTCGTATTTTATGCTGTGTTTAATGTGTGCTAATATTGACAATCTGCTTTCCTTTGTTCTTTATAAACTACCGTAACAACTTGAATGATACTGGTAATATTTTGCTACTTACAAATTACGGTCACTATATGGCAAAAGAAACAA